TTTGAGTACTATATAATAATGGTAAAAATGAGCACACAGTCCACCTGATATTATATAGATGCTGTAGTCGATTAAGAACCAAAATGCAGACGCGTTGTCACCTCTGAAAAATAAGATGAAAGGTTTCTTTTCCAGTAAAAAGGGTTCTCTACACTAACACAAAAACACAGCAGCATTAAGCTGCTATTTTGCGCTGCAGGTAGTTTGTGTTTTATCGACGTGTAAAACTCATCCGATTAAAAAAATTACTGACTTCTTCTCACATAGTGCGATACGAATAGCTACGACGTTATAATTTCTCGGATGCAGTCATTTGACAAATAGAAGCGCTCAGCTCCCCCATTACTCACGCGCCGCCGGGTTTTTCTATTAGGCTTACCTTCACAGGGTAAAATGGTTATGAAGGTATTAATCAATGAAATATTATTCTAAGAGGATATGCCGCTTGCGTTTAGTTATACGTATTTCTCTAATTTCTCCAGGATAAACACCCACCGATACTAGTGAAATTTTTAATTGCAATTAAAGTGCTCATTTACCATGCGGCTTGCCTTTTTTATACTTTATAAGCCAGTGCTTGACCGCAATCCCACCTTGTAGTAAGTGGTAATGCAGCCCTAGTTGGTAAATCGCACTGTGTTAGCGTAACAAAAGCCTATTCACTCTCGCCTTGAAGGCTTTGAAAATAGTAGAGTTTTATTGTGTTTTTTTTTTAAATTTGGGCTGTTATCGAAAAGGCCAACTCGGCAAACAGAAAACGCATCTGCGTTTTAATGCTTAATCGAGGATAGATATCGAAATCTTTAGACTACAGCATACACTTACATTAAGGTGAACTGTGTGGTCACTTGTCACTCTTATTTTATCAAAAAGGGTGAAGACTGGCCGAGCATCTTGTTGCATGATAGTGGAATGGACAGGGAAGATTGGACTTGCACGAAGGTTAGGGACATAGTGCAATTAAATTACAGTAGATGGCGCGTATCATACGGACAAACAAAAAAAATATTATTCGTTTATTACTGAATATAGACAGATCTTCTGCAGCCGTATTATAGTTGAAACACGAATATTCGGCTCGACCGGGCAAGGACTACACTCCCACAGAATACCAACGTAAAATATCAGCTCAATGCTGCTGTGTTTCGTATAGTGAGTATAGATAAACGGAGAGCCTTTTTACTGGAAACGAGGCATTCCATCTTAGTTCTCAGAGGTGGCAACGCATCAGCATTTTGATTCTCAATCGAAGATAGATATAGATATGTATGACATTCACTTACCATCAGATGAACTGTGTGCTCATTACTCCTACAAAAAAAAAACTTCTTCATCTATTGCCGGAATCTTATAGCAGTGTAAGCAAACAAGCACGTGGCTCACCTGATGGTAAGTGACTTCCGCCGCCCATGAACAATTGTAACACAAGGGAAATTGCAGGTGCGTTGCCGCCATTTTATAAAAGAGGAGGCTCTTTTTTTGAAGTCGTATCGGTCCGGCAAAATACGTTATAACAGTTATAGTAAATCGGACAGTTGTGGATAGCCAATCATCCAGATGGTGGACATGGTATCTTGAGTGTTTCACAATGTTTGTTTTATTATAGACATTTTAGGTTAAAAAAAATCTTGAGTGTTTCACGTGGCAGATCTCTTTTTGCAGCAAAAAAATAAAAAATTGGCATTTTTGTAGGATGTCTATTCAGCCACACAGCTAAATTTGTTTACCAGTTTTTATATCCATAAGACCGCGAGGACTATCAAATTGCGTATGGCTACTTATATTTTAGGCTAGTTTTTGTTATCCTTTTTCGACTTTTAAACTAAAAACAATACTTCATGTAACTATGATTTAATCCGCTAATCCGTAATAAGATAATAAATCCGTAAGAAGAAATCTGTAAAGATTTAATCCCGTCTCTATTTAATATTTCATTATCTCTTCCTTTATTTTTATTTTCTACTTTATAATTTTATTTTATTGAAAAAAATAGTAGTTAAAAGAAAATATTTATATCTTGACCTTTACTTAAATAAATATTTTAAGTCCAAACCCAAGCACACAACTGCAAGACTTCAATTTTCAATCAAAATAAGTTAATATACGCGATATTGTTAAGGCCGAATACGAAGAGAACTATCGAAACTTCATGTATTTCTGTTCACTAGAACTTTGACCTGAAGTGATTCTAAGCATTAAAATATTTTTTGTAGGTTTGTTCGGTTCTTTCACAAGGTGCCCGCCGTTGTAATATTTAATATACATGAAATAAGTCAATATATCAATTAAAAAAATAATATTAAGAAATGATGTCTAAAAATGATTTACCTTCAAAAAATCTTTGTATATAAATTTAGTAAAGAATTTCTACATTTTCGACCTTTAACGATACAAAATTTTTTTATCGACATAATTTGTTTTAATTACTAACGCCTAATAATAATATTGTACACTGCCAGATAAAAGTTTGCCGTCATAAGTTACCAGGCGCTTCGATGTGTGGCGTAAGGTGACAATAGTCATGTCTGTACTGAAAATCGTAAATTTAGTAGTTTACAAGCGTTTAAGCGACTATAAATGTCAATATGGGTAAGAAAAGAAATAAATATTACCTAAGTGGTAAACCAAAGAGAGTTTAAGGCAAGAACGCTGCTCGAATGTGGTAAGTTCTATTTTGAGGTTATATTTTTGTAAGGCATTTTTTTGTTAGAGCCTGTCTATAAGGCTGCATTTTTACTAATTTACATTAGCCAACCTGATCATTTATACGTTTCTAGGCAAGTGATAAACTCTCTTCTTCTCTAACGTATTTGTCGGAAAGTACAACATGATAAGCCTATTGTGTGGGAAATAACAGGATAGCGTTAGTTATTAAAAATGGTAAAAGTGTGAGAACTGATGTTCAACTTGCTCTCTTTTTTGCGCAATTTATCATTTTCAATAATAGGACTATTATATAATAGAGTAATTACAGTTTGACCATACCGCAGTATGTCCCCATCACAATTACACACTAGTGCATTTTGAGGGACACAACTACGTGATAACACCAAATTATGCAAACCAACAGCAACATTACCCATCTCAACGTAAGACGGTTGCCTATGAGCAACACCATCCTCCTTGCCTGCACCATAAGAATCACCTCAATGGACAGAACAACGACTATCTTAGCACGAGTGGAATGACTTCACTCGTGAAACGACTCAAGCGGAATCTCCCTCGCTCTGCCCCTACACTGAACTTTATACTGCATAAATAAGTGGGAGGGTTTCTCGATATACCCTCAATTACAACTAGTCACTCCATCCAACCGGCATTTTATAGATGCGCCTACATATTTTATAATCCTCGACCGATTTCGGCCACGGCGACCTCTTCAACTCCGATCCTGTTGTTGGTGTGCTCGAGCATGGATAACGTAGCCGGTTTTATTTATAAATGTTTGCGCACAATGCGGGCAGGTGAGCACACCATTACAGAAATTAGAATTAATCGTACAATCGGAATCAAAATAACGTCGGGCATCCAATTCAGACCAGGGATTCTCCTCAAACATTTTGACCTTGTCTTTTACCAAAGACCTCCACTCCGGTCGTCGAGTGGCTGCTTGCTCCCACTCTGAAGGCTCAATGTAGCACTTCTTCATGTGGCGCTTAAGTATGTCTTTGTACCTGAGGAGTTGTCCGCCATGCTTACGCTTGCCCTTCTCAAGTTCAGAGAAAAAGATGAACTTTGCCGTACGCTGGTCTGACATTCGCGATAAGTGTCCACATCAAAGGAATTGTCGCCCCATAAGGTAGGCTTCATCCCCATATTATAGGCTCTATGCAGCACTTCCGTATTCCGAATTCAATCAGACCAACGGATGTTGAGAATCGTGCGCAGACATTGCAAGTGGAAGCGATCCAGCGTCTGTATATGATGGCGGTAACACTTATCTTCAGACTCTGAAGATTACAATATGTTAGGCAGCACTACCGCCTTATAAATGTCAATTTTGGTAGCCAGCTTCAGGTCATGCGAATCAAAGACCTTGCGATCCAGTTTACCGAACACCGCAGAAGTGGCACCGATTCTAATGTTGACTTCCGCATCAAGGTTGCATTTTGATGTTATCGTGCTCCCCAGATAACGAAATGTATTGATCTGCTTAAGTATATCATCACCGAGTTTGATGGCTTCCATCTTTTTAACACTTATCTTCAGACCAAAACTACGACACGACTCATGAAAGGTGGTCAGAAGCTGTTGCAGGCCAGCTGGGGAATCGGACACAAAACACAGATCATCTGCGTGGATGATCTGTGTAATAAGTGCGTAAGACACTTTAATACAGGCCTTAAGTCCGTCTAAGCTGAAAAGATTGCCATCTTTGCGAAAACGAATGCGGATTCCTTCAGGCGTAGTTTTTAAGACTTCCTGGACTACAACTGCAAAGTATAACGCGAAAAGTTTGGGTGCAAGGACACACTCTTGTTTTACCCCACAGACAACTGGAAAAAAATCTGACTGATCAGCGTTTACTGCGATGCAGCACAGCATGTCGTCATGCAGGAGTCTCAGAAGTCTCACAAACTTCTCCATGCATCCAATTTTCCGCACATCCTGAGGATTTCTCGTGGTACTATCTAATGCCTTCTCAAGGTCTAAAAAACAGAGATACATATTACGACCCTATTCTCTGCTTTTTTCCTGCAGTTAGCGCAATGAGAAAATCGCCTCACAGGCACCACGGTCAGGTCAGAAGCCGAACTGGGATTTCGGCAAAATCCTTTCAGGAAGTTTAATAAGGCGGTTTAATAGAAATCTGGCGATGTCTTTTCCAGCCACTGAAAGTAGAGAAATGCCACGGTAAGAATTGCAGTTCGACCGGTCACCCTTTCCTTTATATAGGGCTCGTATGAGGGATACCTTAAAAGTATTACGGACTTGTTCTTTTTCCCACATAAGGACAAAAAGTTCCCATATCGCCGAATACAAATCCCCACCGCCATACTTCAATAATTCACCCGGTATAGAATCAATACCAACCACGCATTTATTTCCTCGTCAGGCGAGACTGGCTCATCGAGCTCGAGGGCGAATGGTTGCTGATGTAGGCAGCAAACGTGATCCACGCGGTCAACAAAATGATCCACGCTAAGTAGGGAGTTGAAATGCTCCGCCCATCGCTCGAGTATTTCCTCTCTGTTTTTAAAAAGCGCTTCACCGCTAATTGAATTCAGTGTAACTTTCGCCATAGAGGACGTATCGAGTAAATGTCGTACCTCAGCATAAAAGTCACCGAGCTGATCGGTATCAGCGAGCCACTGCATCTGACGAGCCTTCTCATGCTTCAACTTATCCTTCGCTTGTCGTACGAGTTTACGCAGCTCTAGTTCACTACGACGCAACCCCATAGCACCTCCACTCTGATGAATTCTATTGTGCTGCTTTAGGAGCCTACGGTGTTTATCAATAGCGTCCATAAGTACCCCATCATTCTCATCAAACCAGTCCTCATGTTTTCAAACTCTCAAATCCAAAGTGGATTTAGCAGTGTCGAGAATATGAGAAGATAGAGACTCCCAGACAATATTGATTTCACCTGATTTTAGGTCGAGGGGCTGCAGAGCAGTACGTAAGGTTTCGGCATACTTAGCCCTCGTGTTAGTATCTTTGAGTCGCTTAAGGTTCAGACATATCTGTTTAGATCTTACCGATCTACAAGGACGTGGAAAACGAAGATTTAATTTAATAATAACAAGCCGGTAATCAGTCCAACAACGGCTGACATGGACTTGAGAGAAGTCTTTGACGCACGATAGCGTAATCGACAAGGTGCCAATGCTTCGATCTGGGGTGCATCTACGTTTCCTTGTACTTGGCAGGCAATCTGAACATAGTATTTGTAATTGCAAGATCTAATTGTGCACAAAGACTAAGCAACAGTTGGCCGTTACTGTTCATTTTACCAACACCATATCTGCCCAGAACTTTAGGCCAGATATCATAATTTCGTCCTACTCGGCCCTTAAAATCGCTCAATAGAAGAATTTGCTCTCTTGGATGGATACGATCTATGCACCGCATCAATTCTTTGTAAAATTTATCCTTAATTTCATCAGACTTGTCTAGCGTAGGGGCATAAACACTGATGACATTAAGATAGATTTCACGTTCCATGTAAAGGCGCAATGTGGTAATGCGGTCCGAGGCGTGACAGCAAAGCCTACACCAGACCTTCGCGGCTCTGAGGAAGCAAGTCCTTTCCAAAATAAAGTGTACCCGCCGCCGTGTTCTATCATCTCTCCTTCATCGGGGAGGTGTGTTTCGCTGAGTGCAGTCACATCAATATTATAGCGACTTAGTTCCCGAGCTACAATGGCAGTTTTTCGCTTAGGGCAGGCATTTTCTGCGAGGTCAAGAAGTGTGCGCACATTCTACGCGCCAAATCTCAAGATTTTGATAAATTACATTTTCCAGTATTTTTTCTGTGTCATCGACCGCGAATTGGTGATGCGGAGGCAGCCGCGGTTGCTATCATACTAAAGGGTTGGAGTGAGCATTTGTTTAGGGCACCTTTTCTAGTCCCCTCTCTGGCTAAGCGAGGAAAGCAGGGCCTCCCTGAATATGACTGCTTTGTCGCCTTGCGTGCTGCCAAATCCGCTCTGTCACCCCAATGCAGAGCAGAAGCGACCACGATGTACACTACACCCCCAAGACCGCCTACGTGCAGGAGTGAGACAAAACCCAACGAGCATCACGTTAAACATCTCTACCTCCTCCCATCGCCGTAGGACAATGGTTTAGATCGGATCCTGTCAATTGCGCAGGAAATATTAAGGTGCACAAGTCTATGGACTGCGGACAGAGATGCACATACTCGTCTTTGTCCTTCTGGACCCAGTGAAACGGAGACCGTTACGACCGGAGAGGGCCTCGGACAGATGGAACAGTAGGCATATCAATGTAAAAGGGGTCAGTCCTTTTCCACAACCCCTTAGTCGCCTTCTATCCGCCGCACACTACACGGCTAAAAATGCGTTTTTCCCTAATGTACATAGTAGTGCAAGCACAGAGACTGTAAATAATGTCATAGTCAATGTATTGTCCTAAAGTATGGGGTAAGTACATAATTAAAAAAAGTTATAATATTGACCGGTCGGAGTAGTCTGAGAATTTATACCATATCCCCACAAGGGACAAACGCTCATAAAAACAGTTAGGTGAATTATTTTACGTACGTTGCTCCAATTGAGAAAAAAATCGATGTCAATTTAATAACTTTTCTTTACAGAATAATTTTACTTTAGAGAACTTATAATTTATACTAATATATAATTAGGAAAGATTATTATTGTTTTATGTTTGTAACGAATAAAGTCCAGAATTTATAATCTATATGAACGACCAAAATACCAATGCTCTCTTTGTTATTCATTACTCTGCATACTGAGCTAACGCACTCGTACGGCTAATGCACGTGATACTCGTATTCGATAGACAGCGTGCGGTTTGCCGCGAAACGAGCAAGGTCAATCGTTTCGTATTCGGCCTATAGTATATATCGGCACAGAATAAATAATAGTACTACGTACAGAAGTTGCACTCCTTTGATGTCGACTGCTTACCGACGTTTAATAGCCTACATTATTATTATTAATCAGATAAATCGCCAACGCAAGCTAAATAAAACTTTATCGCTGCGCGCTAGTGTCCATATTACTTTGCATCTTTTTTGTCACGGCGGACTTTCGGTGGTTATTAAGGGATGTCAATAGAAAGTAAAAAAATACATTGCAAAATGTTAATTATGTTACTTAGGTGAAGTACTAACTAATATACTGACTATGATTGACTAACCATACTTTCACCCATGTGTGAGTTCTGCGATGCCTAACGCATGCAAACTGCAACGTCATTCGTCGGGAATCGTAACGCTTGGGAGAAATAGGTAGATAGTGTAAACAACAAATAAACCTGAAATACGATTTCTAACAGAAATGTGATCTATTCTATTTAGTTAAAAATCTTGTTAGTATACAAAGTTTTAATTTCAGTATTTTGTGTTATTATAACTCAAAATATTTTAATTACAAAGGACAAGTATTGATATGTAAGTAAATACTTGGATAGTGAAGTAAATTTTAGCTAATTGTTGTAATGAAGTACTTAGGTATTTCTTCTGTACACCAAATTATTACTTAATTCTTTTTAGCTGTGAGTACCTATCTAAAAAAAAAAAAAAAATTTTTAACCTTTAATAACTTCCTTCTAAAACTTCGTCTTAAAGAATGATATGAAGCCCTTTGTTGGTCATTTCATTTAGTATCCATCTAAGCAACAGTTATAGTAGGAACGACGTTTTACTATTATAATCTATCGTTAATATATACGTTTTACTATTATAATAGGTAATATATATAATACCTATATAATTTTTAAAATACATTAAAACTTTTACAACTATTTTTAACTACAATTAAATATACTAAACACTAAACAAAAACTATTTCAACAACTATTTACATAAAACTATTTACGTAAACGTTATTTCGCCCGAGCGCGTCGCGATTTTAGGTAATTATTTCACGCAGGTAGCAAGAGTGATAGAGGCCTGATATCGGTACTAGTAACTAGTAGTACTAGTTTTATTTAAATAACACAGCAGTGTTTCGTATGATTATTGTAGAGAACCCGAGACCTTTTCTAATGGTAACCAGGTATTTAATCTTATTCCTCAGGGGTGACAACGCACTAGCATTTTGATCCTTAAGCGATGATAGGTGTCTATGGACCGCAGCATCCACTTATCATGAGCTAAACTGTGTGAACGTTTGTGATAGGTACTTACTTCTATAAAAATGCTGCATTGACTCATATAGGTTAACTGCATTTTTATTTTCAATTATCTAAAAATGTGTATTTAGTCTAATTCAAGTGAGTAATAATAAATAATTATTTGAATAAATATATCAGTATGTACCTTTTTTAAATTTTGAGGGTGATTGCTGTCATCTAATCAAAACAACAATTTCTGTAAATCAAGATTTAAAATTGTTATTTTTATTGTTATTTAAAAAAAACAAATAACTTTTTAAGGGAATCTTAATGTTGTCAGATGTTACACATCATATGCGACTACCTTTTTTTGTTTCAAACTATTTTTCTAGCCTTTTTAGTCTGAGAAACGTAAATAATAAAAAAATATGCCCTACAGACCGACAGTCTGAATCTACGCAGGATAACAGTATAGGGCCCGAGCGCCTCTTTTCCCTCACGCATATACGGGACGGGACGGTAATCCGACGTGAGTGGAGAGGGATCAGGCGCACGACCAATGGCTTTACGTGCTTTCCGAGGCACGAAGATGAAACACCGCCAACTTCCTAAATCCGGGCTGCTACTGAGAATTTAAGACAGAAAAACCCAATAATGATTTTTTGCTGACCCGGGATTCGAACCCGTGACCTCACGATCAGCAACCGCGTTTACGACTACTAGACCAACGAGGCAGTCAACGTAAATTATGCTCAATGTAACAAAACTTATTTTAAATTTATACAGAACACGGAACACGAGTAACTTTTAACGAATATAGATTATAAATAATAATGTAAATAATTTTATAATACTCAGTCAAAGGAAATTTATTCGTTGAGAATATTGACTTGGTTATATAAATATAGAATAAAACAAAGCCGTGGCAGAACAATTATGACAATAATGATTTCTTATATTTACGCGAACACTATACATGATTAAAACTACTTTTACGGATTTTATCGCGTTTATTTTTACTTTTTATTTACTTTTATTTTTAATTCCCGACGTTTCGGGCGCTTTCTAGCACCCATGGTCACGGGGGACCTTGTGTGGTCCCCCGTGACCTTGGGTTAAATAGAAAATTTTTGAACATTAAAAATTGGGGAAGTGTCTACAGCACAGATAAAATAATGATTCTACGTAATCTACAGTCACCAAGTAAGGGACAGCCTTATAATGTCTCACTACTGGTCACAGGCCTCATCTCATTTAGGATTTTACCATTACCGATTCCGTTACAGCCTATTAAAGTCCATAGTTCATTCCTGCTGAACATAGGAATCCTCCATAGATTGGCACATAGAGATGATATTTTCTATAGTGTGTTCTATAGTGCAACCGCAGTTTTATTTTTATTTTCCCATCTCCCTGATTTGTTTACCTCTGTCAGCTTTTATACCCACGAGATGGTATGGGGTAGTGGATATTTTTACAATGCCGCTAATCGGCACATGTAGGGTATTAGAATAAGAAAATGTCTGCTGCGCTTCCCAAATGCACGCCCTAATTGGTGGACTCTACGTTCTCAAAATATTTTTTTTCTAATTTCTCAGACATTCAGGTTTCCTTACAATGTTTTCCCTCATCACAGAAAACGTGATTAAACGGCATTGAAAATTGCGATTAACAAGTTTATCAGTGCCTGTCTAACTGGTGTAGC